CCACAGACGGGACATTTAGGAAATAATGATAAGACTGTCACGGGTGTCGCCACAGGTAGGATCCAAACGCAGAGAGACAGGAAGTATAAAGGCTAACAAACTAACCGAGTACAGGACAAGGATCACTGGACAGGCATATCGACGGACTCATTACATTAACAAGACACAGGTGAGGGCAGGTAAAGACACAAGGAGATCCCACACAGGTGGAGAGAATCAGCGCAATCAAGAAGACCGTTTGAGTAAAACGAGACATTTCAAAATGAAACCGGAACAATAAACAAAACTAAGATCACAACAAAGACAGATGATAATATACTCAAATACTATGACTGCTACTATTTTAGACATGCTATACTATTACTTTGTTTCCTATATTTCAACATACTATACTATGACTTCATATTGTTTGATATACTATTCTAAGATTTTTTCACATTTTTTGACACATAATCATTAAATCTATAATAATGCACTATTATATTATGGTATATTGAATCTGTGTGTTTTACTGTCAACTGTATTCTATGTGATTGTGACTTTTATGAGATGTCAATCGTCTACTGTGAAGAACTTTGGACTGAAAGGTGATTTACAAATAAAGCTTATAGTGAAACTATCCATAATAATATAAACACTTTGAAATGAGTATTCTCCTTCAAAGCACTCCAGGTTTAATTACATCATCATACATTTAGTAAATGCAAATGTTTTCTTATGCAATTCAACAGATTATCTTCTGATAAAGCTGTAAAATTGGCACAAAATATAATAAATTGATGTTAGATTTTTTGTTTACGATAAACTCAGTATTTCTAAAAAGTATACGGAAACCAAACTTGGTTGAGAACTTCCTCGACAGATTACAAATGTTGCATAATATCTTAATAGGTGGATTGATGTGATGGTTTAATGTTGCACCAAAGAAAAACCACTCACTTGTAAATGAAAGTGTCCTTTGTATGCCAGATGTCCTTTCAGTCGTACATCCACCAGTGTCTGCCTGTAGCTACAGATATTTCTTGGGTGAACCTCAACATGATGAACTTAACTTCAGGACAAGATTATTCCTTAACCAACCTCTCACACTTTAATCACACGGTCTCAGATCCCTCGCAGTCTCATTAAGTCGACTCTTATCATCTGTCACAAGGTCGAAACTCTTCAAAAACCTTCCTCTCCCGTATCTGTGCTGCTCTCTCTTATCTGAAACTCAGAACAATCCTTTGTACTTTTCATCTGTTTCCTTTTTTTATTGAACACTGTTAAACTCCTTTTAGCGTTTTTTTTACACGTATTTCACTGGAAATACCTCGACTTAATTACAGTTTCATTCGAGTGAAAAACCTGCAGGAGATAAGTCCATACTTTAATTTTGTCATCTGATTTCTCTTTCCTGCTCCTCATGACGATTGTGGGGTCTGTATTTTATATTTCACTTCTGACCCTTGCACCCTTTTATTGTTTAGAAATCTACATTTATAAATTCATTTCAGACCGTCAACTTAGCATTTGATACATCTAAAATAGCAGATATTACTAAATATATATGGATTCATCCTGGAAAAGCTAAATGATTCTGAATGTAACCGTAACCACACTATGGTGCTCCTATTGGCTAGCGCCCCAACACAAGTAGGTAAAGTAGGTGTCTGTAAATTATGGTAATTTGGTTAATTTAAATATATTTCAAATGTGTACAATTGTTCTTCTCTGTGTCCCGCAGAGGATTGTTGAGCATGTCTCTGGTGTGGGTGTTTAGAAGTCACATTTATTTAGTGGACAGAATGAATCAGACGGAGTGAGACGAATGAGGCTCAAACACTACTGTGGTTAGCGTTGGGGTTGCCTGTAGCTCAACGATAAAGAGGACACTGGTTCAGGAGCACAATGAGGTATGACGGCATTTAATGTGACTGCAAGTGTGTGCCCAAAATATTGAAAGCAACACAAATGGCATGGTACATCAGTGGGGAAACCTCTGCGATGCAATACAGAAGTGATACTAAGAACACTGTCACCATCTAGTGGCTGTACGGATATACTGCATTTTGAATATCAGGTGTAAACAGTACTTTTGCATTTGCTGTGTTGTTGTTTTTGCTGTATCTTGTAGGGTGTAAAGTGTTAAAACAAATAACCAATCGAACCCTTATATGTGGATGAAACAGCACCATCTAGTGGAGATTGTGTTGTGCTGTATTATTTGAAATATATTTCCAAGCTTTTAATGGTACAGGTCATGTTACGCTTTCTAAATGAAGTCCTAATACATGCATTTATTAATCTTTGACCTTTTTGAAGACATGTGGTAGCTCACACCTTAATCTGTGTGTGTATTCTTGTTTACTTGTCACTGTGAGGTCCAAGTAAAACATGTTAGACATTGAGGTATGACGGCATTTAATGTGACTGCAAGTGTGTGCCCAACATATTGAAAGCATCCAAAATTGCATGATGGGCAATACAGAAGTGATACTAGGAACACTGTCACCATCTAGGGGCTGTACAGATATACTGCATTTTGAATATGATAACATTTGTAAACAGTGCAATATATTTGAAATGATAAACCCTTTTTTTTACCCTGCTTTTGCAATATTTATTTTTGATTGAATGTGTCCTAATTTGCTATGTTGTTGTTGTTGTTTTGCTGTATATTTTTGTGTGTAAAGTGTTCAATGAAAGATCCAATCGAACACCTCATATGTGGATGAAACATCTCCATCTAGTGGAAATTATGTTTTACTGCATCATCTGAAATATTTCAAAGATTTTAATGGTAAAGGAAGGTCATGTTACACTTCCCTTATACATGCATTATTAATATTTGACCTTTTTTGAATAAACCTGGTAGCTCACACTGTAATCTGTGTGTATTTGATTATTCTTGTTTACCTATCGTTGTGAAGTACAAGTACAAATGTTAGACCTTGTCCATATTAGTCCGTTCGACTTTTTGAAGGTTAATACCCATGGGTTTTTATGTTTAAGGTCAGGCCAGTGTTGGGGGATCAGGTGATGCATTTTGAAACCGAGTATACCCACAAGTATAGGTAAGTATAGTTCAGTATGTTCCTTTCTCATTCTTTTCACTTGTATTAGTTTATGTATTATTCTGCTGTATTATATAATTTCCATGCATGTACCTTAAAGTTAATTGAATAACCAACTACCCTGGGTTGCATTGACTTTGTTTAGTAAACAGTTTGAAAGTAATTGGTAATGTACCTTATGCCATTTGTTGTGTCTTAAGAGCATTATAAAGGAATAATGTGTTTTTAAATGTCAAATCAAATCAAATCAAGTTTTATTTATATAGCACATTTATAAAGATTGTTGGTGGAGCCAAAGTGCTGAACATATAATAACAATAGCCTACAGTAGAGACACTTTACAGCAAATACAACAACAGATTGTTCAGAATATCAGTATGAGAAAAACGACACCCTCTGTCCTTAGACCCTCTGTCCTCAGACCCTCTGTCCTTAGACCCTCTGTCCTTAGACCCTCTGTCCTCAGACCCTCTGTCCTTAGACCCTCTGTCCTCAGACCCCTCTGTCCTTAGACCCTCTGTCCTTAGACCCTCTGTCCTCAGACCCTCTGTCCTTAGACCCTCTGTCCTAGACCCTCTGTCCTCAGACCCTCTGTCCTCAGACCCTCTGTCCTTAGACCCTCTGTCCTCAGACCCTCTGTCCTCAGACCCTCTGTCCTCAGACCCTCTGTCCTTAGACCCTCTGTCCTTAGACCCTCTGTCCTCAGACCCTCTGTCCTCAGACCCTCTGTCCTTAGACCCTCTGTCCTCAGACCCTCTGTCCTCAGACCCTCTGTCCTCAGACCCTCTGTCCTTAGACCCTCTGTCCTTAGACCCTCTGTCCTCAGACCCTCTGTCCTTAGACCCTCTGTCCTCAGACCCTCTGTCCTCAGACCCTCTGTCCTCAGACCCTCTGTCCGTAGACCCTCTGTCCTCAGACCCTCTGTCCTCAGACCCTCTGTCCTCAGACCCTCTGTCCTCAGACCCTCTGTCCTCAGACCCTCTGTCCGTAGACCCTCTGTCCTCAGACCCTCTGTCCTTAGACCCTCTGTCCTCAGACCCTCTGTCCTCAGACCCTCTGTCCGTAGACCCTCTGTCCTCAGACCCTCTGTCCTCAGACCCTCTGTCCTCAGACCCTCTGTCCTTAGACCCTCTGTCCTCAGACCCTCTGTCCTCAGACCCTCTGTCCTCAGACCCTCTATCCTTAGACCCTCTGTCCTTAGACCCTCTGTCCTCAGACCCTCTGTCCTCAGACCCTCTGTCCTCAGACCCTCTGTCCTTAGACCCTCTGTCCTCAGACCCTCTGTCCTCAGACCCTCTGTCCTCAGACCCTCTGTCCTCAGACCCTCTGTCCTCAGACCCTCTGTCCTCAGACCCTCTGTCCTTAGACCCTCTGTCCTTAGAACCTCTGTCCTTAGACCCTCTGTCCTTAGACCCTCTGTCCTTAGACCCTCTGTCCTCAGACCCTCACATCGTACAAGGAAACACTTCCAGAGAAAACCCAGAGTTGAAAGGGAACATGGGAGAAACCTCAGGGAGAGCAGCAGAGGAGGGATCCCTCTCTCATGTCAGACAGTTTATACATGTTTTATCTTCACGGTCATCTGTACATTCTTCTTACTCTCTAATGCTGGTTTATTTCTATTTTCAGATGTTTCTATTTTTGAATTGTTTATTTCTACTCTTTTAATTTGTTATTATGTGCAATGCCTTGTTTTGTTTTATGCAACAAAAACATTTCCTAAACTGGGATTAATAAAGTACTTCTAATCTTATCTGTTGTTGTGCGACTTTGATCAGTTTAATATACACTTTACGTCCAAACCTGATAGACAGTGCAAACTACCAAACTACCAATACATGTCATCTTTTTCAAACAAAAATCAAGTACATTATATGTTGTTGTACAATTAGAAAATGGATCAAACCAGTAGTTCAAGAACATTAAAAACAGACAAAGAAATGCTAACTTTTCATAAAATGACTTTATTGGAGACACTTGTTTTGTTTAAAAGAGACACAGCACTACTGGTGTTTACTGGCACAGACACCAACCAAGGAGTTTTGTTTTGGCAAAAGACAAAAACATAATAACATGTAATAATAATGTAGATGTTGTCATTCTGTCGTGGAGCTCATCTCTCTCCACCACGCCAAACGAGACATTACAACTGTAGTGTTTTTTGACCGTCCTCATCTGAGAACATTGAATCTCAACAGAAGTGACAATTGGGACAAACTAAAGGCACCGTTTGATTTCAGCTACGCACACACACTTTACCCAAATAACACAACACACACACACACACCTTTAAAACCTTAGCTTGCATTCTTGGCGTTCTTCTTCTTCTTCTTCTTGGGGGTTTGCTTCTTTGCGGACTCGGCGTTGGAAGCGGTTTTCGGTGTGTCTTTGGAGGGTGGAGCTGCTGGGGCTTCTGGTTCAGCCTGGACGTCCTGCTCTTTCACTGGTTCAGCCTCAACCTTAGCCTCTACTACTGCTGTCGGTGGATCGATCTTGACTTCCTCCGGCTCAGGCGTTGGTTCAGCAGGTTTCGTCAGGATCTCCTCCTCTGCTTTGACTGGTTGCACCTCTTTGACCATGACCTGGGTTGGGACTTTTTCCACGTCTGGTTTTGTGTCTGTTGGTATCACTTCAGAAGTTTTCTCCACTGGTGAAGACGTTGCTGGCTCTGTAACTTTATCTGACTGTGGCACAACTGATTCCTCTGACTTGACATCTACCGCCTGCTCCTGCTTGACCTGAGGTTTGGTTTGGAAATGGTCAAACGCAGAAGCCACCAAGTCGTCTTCTGTTTCTTCCTCCTTATTGTCCTCTTCATCATTATGGGCAGGTGCATTCAACAGGGAGTTGGCGAACTCCTGCAGCTTTGTCTGTTCCTCCTTCAGACGAGACATATCCTCCGTCAAGACCGGGTCCTCAATCCCGATCTCATGGAGCTCCTGTTGCTCAAAAGGGCTCAGGTCAGAAGATTTGTCACCGAAGATTTTTATTGAGACGTTGGAGTTATTCTTGCTGATTTGCTTGATCTTTTCATAGAGCATTCCCCTCTCCCTCTGGAGGGCGTCACACAACCTCTCCAACTTATTAATTTTCAGGACGAAAATGTCGTACTCTCTGCATTTGTCGGTTCTCTGAAACAGAAAGAGCGACGGAGAAAATTAGATATAAAGGGATGTAACTAGAAATCAAACAGTTATGATGGTAAATAGCTATCTGCAAAATCTGCCTATTCAGTTTCTGTTGGAATGTGAAGGGTTAAATGAAAGAAGCTCGTCTCTGCGAGTTACTGTGAAGAGAGGAGCTGTTGGACATCCAGGCGGTCCAGCTATGAATTCACAGAGGGCCCGCTATGGTTAGTGCTAGATCGTATACCTCCTGGGTTTTAGGCGGAAGTGACGTAATCTGCCACCGAGGACAAGAGACGACGCCCTTTACTTACTGGCTGCTGCCGTCTTCACACAAATAAACCCCTTAAAACCTGTATGATTTAGTTTTCACATGTTTATTGAAATTAATTCGTCCATCTCTTTATATTATAGTATTACATGTATTATTTTCGGCTGCGTATTTGTGAATTGAATTATCCCATTATTATTGTTCTTTGGATCAACAGGACTTTCAAAGTGACACGAAACATCAACATACCTCAGAAATCATATCATTCAGAGCCTTGTTGCAGTTCTCAAACCTCGTCTTCCACAGAGTTGACTCTTTGTCCATTTTCTTCATCTTGTCTGACATCTATAAAAGGGAGTAGTTTAAAATCAAAGGGCTTGGAAACTTGGAAAGGTTCAAGAAGAATACGCCCAACATGTCATAGTAAGTGGAGCCCTCGACAAAGATTATAAAACTTAGATTTCTTTAAGGCACAGTTTATTTCCACCTACGTTATCCATCTCGCTCTTGAAGCGGACGTAGATTTCATTGCTTTTGGACAGCGTCGCCTGAAACTCATCAAACTTCTGGGCATACAGGGTCAGCTGTGAACATATGGAGAAAACAGAGTAAGACCTAAACAGAGACAGACATGAGAACAATTCAGGGTGCTTTCTGTCTAAAAGCAAAATGTATGTATTTCAGGAAAAACGAAATGATTACGGTTTCAAGCGTCTTATTCTTCCAAATTCTATTTACTGAACAAACTATTCAGTACTTTCTCACTATTTTATATCAACAGGGTTCACCTTGGTTTACATTATTTTACGGTGTATCCTAACCTTAGACCGACCTTTAACAAGACCACTATACATGCAGTGTATCGGGATAATTATAAAACCATATTTGGTCACAATAATTACAGATGCAACATTTATGTATGTGGTCATTTTCAAATTCTCACTCGTCAAACATACACACCTTTGAAAGACACATAAACCTTATTCTCAAAACACATTCAAGGCATATGATTGTAAAAGACAGAAATACGACGTCCCTATAGTCCTTTCTTTGCTCTGTTTTGAATTGAAAACTCCTCCCTGCTCCACCAGCTGTGTGTGGCCTGTCCTGGTTGTCAGCATGTTAGTCTTGTCAGTGAATATTCACCTGCACCTGCATCAAGTTCCCCTGTTCCCTGAGTGTCTGAGTCTGAAGTTTCCACTCAGCAGCCTGAACCAGTAACTGGTTAGAGAGAACAGACAGAGACACATTAAGACGTTTCTTTACCTTCTTCTTCATGGCCAGCTCCTGCTCCTTCATAGCGTAGCATTTCTTTGTTTTGTCAATAGCCTCCCTAAGCAACTACGGCAACAGAAACAATACACAGTCAATCTGGGAATAGTATTTAACAAGGATAAATATCTGTGAAATGTAATGCAGTGAAAAACTACACTCAAAACATTTAGAAAGTGGACTTGAATTACATTTGTTTTGTCAACAGGTTCCATATCATTATGTTAGGTTGCTTTTAAGTAACCCATTACGACGTAAGAGGGCAAGGGCCACATCTAAAGGAGATGTTTAGATCTGACCAGAATTTAGAGAAAACATTCTTTTAATTTCTCGAATGTCTAATGTAATGTCTTTTCATGCTGCTGCAATTCAAACATGTCCCAAAATGGGATCAATTAAGTACTTCTTATCTTCTTATCTTATCTCATCTCATCTCATCTCATCTTACACATCAGTTCAGTTCTAGTGGCGTTAACTCACGTATTCCTTCTCTCTCCTGTGCTTCTCCTCGGCCTCGGTCAGCAGAGCGTTGGCCTGCTGCAGTTTGGCTTCGGTCAGCTTGTGCTGCAGGTCGCGGTGATTGTTGATCTTCTCCAAACTCTGCAGAGAGACGAGGAATCAGACTTCTTTCTGTACCGATGTATCTGCTGAAAGTCTCATCAATGAATTCAATAAAATATCCAAGATTACTTGTTAGACGCTTTTATCCAAAGCGACTCACAGACTCAACACTGTGTTCAATCCCCACAGCAGCACTTTGTGGTGAAGCGTCTCAGGGACACAACGACATGCTGACTGCAGTGGGGTTTGAACCTGTGACTCCCTGATCCCAACGCACTACCCACTGCGCCACACGCCTCCTCCCAAGATACTAATCACAATGCCCCTAAAGCCCAAGTTTACATATTTAAATTGCTTGTTTTTTATGAACAAGAGACCAAAACTCAAAGGAATATTCATATTCATGTTGAAGGGGTTTGTACATATAGCTTCAGGGTTAATGTCACAAATCACTTCTTGTTATCCCTCTACTTTATACAAACTAAATAACCCCCTAAAGAAACCATTTTGTGGGGTTGGATGTGCAATTTAAATGTTGTTAAACCATCAGAGCTGCATTTTGTATTAAGTCTTCTAATGTGGTTATAAAATGTAAAATCCAACGGTTGAGGCTTACTACGATCTATGAAGATGTATTTCTACAATAAAGACCAAATAACAGAAACTACTCATTCCTCGTACGGGTCAACCTACCTGCTAATAAACCTGATTCTGATTCTAATATGGTTATAAAATGTAAAACCCAACACTTGAGGCTTATTACTATCGTTGAAGATGTATTATGTCGACCTTTGACCCCTCACCTCCTCTCTCATCTCGCACTGGGACATCAGGCCCTCCAGTTTGTCGGTCAGGTTGCTGTTCTCGTGGCACAGCTTGTCGTTTCGGGTGCTGTGCGTCTCGATCTGAGACTGGATTTCTGTCAGCATGCTCTGGAAGTGGCTGGTGATTTCAGACCGTTTCTCCTCGTCGCCCCTGCAGCGTTTCAGGGTTTCCTCCTGAAGGGGGAGGAGGAGGGGGTGAGGAGGGGGGGAGGGGGAGGAGGAGGAGGGGGAGGAGGAGGCTTTACCATATCAGTATCAGTATTTTAAGATTCTGGCATGTATTTTTAGCTGCTAACCATGACCTTTGGGGCCACCAGGATCAGGCCCAGAGGCACAAAGTGTCAAACTACCAAATGCCACTCAAGGAGGAACACAACAACCAGGAAGACACAACATGAATACAAAGAGACATAGAACTGAAGCAAAATGACACAAAGTGACTGCAGAGAGCAAAAAGACATCTATCAAATACAAAGGGATTCAAAACGGAAGAAATGACCACAAGTTGACGCAAAGTTACCATAAAAGAACGAACACATTTTGACCGAAAATAACATCAAAGAGACCCAAAAATATGGTAAAAAGTAACAAAATCTCCACAAAAAACTAAATTAACACAAAATGAAAACTAAAAGAACAAAGGGAAAATAAAAAGCAGACATTGTTTGTAAGTTTTGTTTCTGTGTTTCTCTGTAAAGATTAGTTTTTTTTGGTTTATGCAGTACACATACACACACACACACACACACACACACACACACACACACACACACACACACACACACACACACACACACACACACACACACACACATACACACACACACACATACACACACACACACACATACACACACACACACACACACACACACACACACACACATACACACACACACACACACACACACACATACACACACACATACACACACACACATACACACACACACACACTCATCTACCCACCCTCAGTGTGTCGTAGTGTCCTTGCAGTTCTCTACAAAGCGCCTCCAGCTCGCTGCGAGCCGCCGCGCTGCCTCGGCTCTCCTCCAGCAGCATGGACATCTGCTGCTGCAACACACACACCTTCCTCTCATCGCCGCGCCGCTGCACCGCCTGCACACACACACACACACACACACACACACACACACACACACACACACACACACACACACACACATGGAAGCACACATTGAATGCAGATTGCAGTTTATGACAGAATGGATTTGCTGCGTAAAAATAAATATTGAATAATTCTCACCACTTCGGCGTATTTCCTGACCACCTCTTCCAGTTTCTTGGCTGGAGAAGAGCCCTTGCTCAGACTCTTCATGATGAGACACACCTCTGCAGACACACACACACACACACACACACACAAAATCATGAGGAATAATAACAAAATGTGTTGTATTAATCAGGGTGCATGAACTCAACACAATGAATGTGCATCTTGGGAAATGTGGGCTTCACAGTTCTTTTTATTAAAAGTAAAAGTCAATATATTTTGACATTTTGCTCTTTTTCATTATTCTCAAGTCCCCATTATGTATGAATACAAAAGGAAGGTGATGATAGTGTTGGAAGAAAGTGGGAAGAAACCCCCTTCCACATTCAGGAGGTTATCTGACTAACTTTGTCTGCATATTTCTCCTTAATTCCCCGACAGTAAGCATTACATAATTCCTCATTTGCATATTCAAACATATGTAATGTCATTAATGAAGTGGGGAAGTTCCATGGTGATATTTCACACGCTTGATTCACCTGCAGTGCACACACACACACACACACACACACACACACACACACACACACACACACACACACACACACACACACACACACACACACACACACACACCACACACACACACACACACACACACACACACACACACACACACACACACACACACACACACACACACACACACACACACACACACACATACATACACACACACACACACACACACACACACACACACAACACACACACACACACACACACACACACACACACACACACACACACACTGTCCCTTTAACAGTAGATCAAACTGATATGATTTGTTATTTAAATACCGCCTCGCTCACCTTTCTCCATGGCAACGGGAAGTTCCTCTTTCGGCTCCGCCTTCATCTTTTCCTCCTCTGCCTCCATCAAACTCTACAATCAAAACCATATGAAGCTTTAAGAATAAAGTCTGATAACATTTGGATGGATCAACTTGGACAAGGACACATATTAAAGACAAGAAACAAAGGAAACAGACCTTAACACAACATTGTAATCACTGAAGAGAAACAAGTTCAAGACCCTTAAAGACACCTGATCCTGGATTAAACGTTGTATTAGATTCAGGATGAACTTCAGTCTAATGTCTTCAGTCTAATGTCTTCAGTCTAATGTCTTCAGTCTAATGTCTTCAGTCTAATGTCTTCAGTCTAATGTCTTCAGTCTAATGTCTTCAGTCTAATGTCTTCAGTCTAATGTTTTCAGTCTAATGTCTTAAATCTAATGTCTTCAGTCTAATGTCTTAAATCTAATGTCTTCAGTCTAATGTCTTCAGTCTAATGTCTTCAGTCTAATGTCTTCAGTCTAATGTCTTTAGTCTAATGTCTTCAGTCTAATGTCTTCAGTCTAATGTCTTCAGTCTAATGTCTTCAGTCTAATGTCTTAAATCTAATGTCTTCAGTCTAATGTCTTCAGTCTAATGTCTTCAGTCTAATGTCTTCAGTCTAATGTCTTCAGTCTAATGTCTTCAGTCTAATGTCTTCAGTCTAATGTTTTCAGTCTAATGTCTTCAGTCTAATGTCTTAAATCTAATGTCTTCAGTCTAATGTCTTCAGTCTAATGTCTTCAGTCTAATGTCTTCAGTCTAATGTCTTAAATCTAATGTCTTCAGTCTAATGTCTTCAGTCTAATGTCTTCAGTCTAATGTCTTCAGTCTAATGTCTTAAATCTAATGTCTTCAGTCTAATGTCTTCAGTCTAATGTCTTCAGTCTAAGGTCTTCAGTCTAATGTCTTCGGTCTAATGTCTTAAATCTAATGTCTTCAGTCTAATGTCTTCAGTCTAATGTCTTCAGTCTAATGTCTTCAGTCTAATGTCTTCAGTCTAATGTCTTCAGTCTAATGTCTTAAATCTAATGTCTTCAGTCTAATGTCTTAAATCTAATGTCTTCAGTCTAATGTCTTCAGTCTAATGTCTTCAGTCTAAGGTCTTCAGTCTAATGTCTTCAGTCTAATGTCTTCAGTCTAATGTCTTCAGTCTAATGTCTTCAGTCTAATGTCTTAAATCTAATGTCTTCAGTCTAATGTCTTCAGTCTAATGTCTTCAGTCTAATGTCTTCAGTCTAATGTCTTCAGTCTAATGTCTTCAGTCTAATGTCTTCAGTCTAATGTCTTCAGTCTAATGTCTTCAGTCTAATGTCTTCAGTCTAATGTCTTAAATCTAATGTCTTCAGTCTAATGTCTTCAGTCTAATGTCTTCAGTCTAATGTTTTAAATCTAATGTCTTCAGTCTAATGTCTTCAGTCTAATGTCTTCAGTCTAATGTCTTCAGTCTAATGTCTTCAGTCTAATGTCTTCAGTCTAATGTCTTCAGTCTAATGTCTTCAGTCTAATGTCTTCAGTCTAATGTCTTCAGTCTAATGTCTTCAGTCTAATGTCTTAAATCTAATGTCTTCAGTCTAATGTCTTCAGTCTAATGTCTTCAGTCTAATGTCTTAAATCTAATGTCTTCAGTCTAATGTCTTCAGTCTAATGTCTTAAATCTAATGTCTTCAGTCTAATGTCTTCAGTCTAATGTCTTCAGTCTAATGTCTTCAGTCTAATGTCTTCAGTCTAATGTCTTCAGTCTAATGTCTTCAGTCTAATGTCTTCAGTCTAATGTCTTAAATCTAATGTCTTCAGTCTAATGTCTTAAATCTAATGTCTTCAGTCTAATGTCTTAAATCTAATGTCTTCAGTCTAATGTCTTCAGTCTAATGTCTTCAGTCTAATGTCTTCAGTCTAATGTCTTAAATCGTAAAACGAAGCCGTAAACGCGACAAATTAATTTACATTTTTAGTTTATTTGTTTATAGTGTCGTGGACAGTCCCCATTCATGAACTGTCACAAACAACAGTAAATGGAGCAGCTTTAGCTAAACATTGCTCATTTCCAGCTGTAGTCCAAGGCCAGATAATAAAAGACAACTTTTTAAAATCATAATAAATCAACAGCATTAGTTACAAAGAAAGGACGAAAGACAAGTAGATAGAACAACACACGTTACTACATACATGTCACATATTATAGCACATCCAGAGATGGTACAAGTACTCACATCCTTTACTCAAGCAGAAGTACAGATACTCGTGTTTAAAAATACTCTGGTGAAAGTAGAAGTACTGACTAAACTTCTTTACTCAAGTCAAAGTAAAGAGGCTTTGAAGTGTACTTCAGTCAATCAATCAATCAATGTTTATTTATTGCCCAATATCACAAATGTTACATTTGTCTCAGTGGACTTTACAGTTTGTACAAAATATCAGTATGACAATACGACACCCTCTGTCCTTAGACCCTCTGTCCTCAGACCCTCTGTCCTTAGACCCTCACATCGTACAAGGAAAAACTTCCGAAGAAAACCCACAGTTTAAAGGGAACATGGGAGAAACCTCAGGGAGAGCAACAGAGGAGGGATCCCTCTCCCAGGACGGACAGACGTGCAATAGATGCCGTGTGTAAATTGAAAAGATAATACATTTGCAACATAGGTAGTCCAAATGTTTGGAAATGCATGTGTGTATAATTCAACTTCAGTAAAAAGTACCCATAACTAGCAGCTGCTTTAAAGAGTACCTGACCTCCCTTTATATCAATAGAACAATAATGTCATTGTTAGCTAATGAATGTTTCCATGCTGAACAACGGCAACATGACAACGTTTCCATTGGTCCCTCTTCTTTAGAGAAGACCAGGAAATGATGGATACACGGATCGTGTTCAAATCAATAGGCACGCAATGACTCTAAAGAATAATGATCACGCACCAAACACACATTCAGACTAAAGGAACCAGCTGTTTGGAGAATGAGAGAAGTAGAAAGTACAAGTATTTGAGTTCAACATGTGAGAAGTAGAAAGTACAGGTATTTGAGTTCAACATGTAAGAAGTAGAAAGTACAGGTATTTGAGTTCAACATGTAAGAAGTAGAAAGTACAGGTATTTGAGTTCAACATGTAAGAAGTAGAAAGTACAGGTATTTGAGTTCAACATGTAAGAAGTAGAAAGTACAGGTATTTGAGTTCAACATGTAAGAAGTAGAGAGTACAGGTATTTGAGTTCAACATGTGAGAAGTAGAAAGTACAGGTATTAGTGTTCAACATGAGAGAAGTATAAAGTACAGGTATTTGAGTTCAACATGTAAGAAGTAGAAAGTACAGGTATTTGAGTTCAACATGAGAGAAGTAGAAAGTACAGGTATTTGAGTTCAACATGAGAGAAGTAGAAAGTACAAGTATTTGTGTTCAACATGTAAGAAGTAGAAAGTACAGGTATTTGAGTTCAACATGAGAGAAGTAGAAAGTACAGGTATTTGAGTTCAACATGAGAGAAGTAGAAAGTACAGGTATTTGAGTTCAACATGAGAGAAGTAGAAAGTACAGGTATTTGTGTTCAACATGTGAGAAGTAGAAAGTACAGGTATTTGAGTTCAACATGTAAGAAGTAGAAAGTACAGGTATTTGAGTTCAACATGTAAGAAGTAGAAAGTACAGGTATTTGAGTTCAACATGTAAGAAGTAGAAAGTACAGGTATTTGTGTTCAACATGTAAGAAGTAGAAAGTACAGGTATTTGAGTTCAACATGTAAGAAGTAGAAAGTACAGGTATTTGGGTTCAACATGTAAGAAGTAGAAAGTACAGGTATTTGAGTTCAACATGTAAGAAGTAGAAAGTACAGGTATTTGGGTTCAACATGTAAGAAGTAGAAAGTACAGGTATTTGAGTTCAACATGTGAGAAGTAGAAAGTACAGGTATTTGAGTTCAACATGTAAGAAGTAGAAAGTACAGGTATTTGAGTTAAACATGTAAGAAGTAGAAAGTACAGGTATTTGAGTTCAACATGTAAGAAGTAGAAAGTACAGGTATTTGAGTTCAACATGTAAGAAGTAGAAAGTACAGGTATTTGAGTTCAACATGTAAGAAGTAGAAAGTACAGGTATTTGAGTTCAACATGTGAGAAGTAGAAAGTACAGGTATTTGAGTTCAACATGTAAGAAGTAGAAAGTACAGGTATTTGGGTTCAACATGTAAGAAGTAGAAAGTACAGGTATTTGAGTTCAACATGTGAGAAGTAGAAAGTACAGGTATTTGAGTTCAACATGTGAGAAGTAGAAAGTACAGGTATTTGAGTTCAACATGTAAGAAGTAGAAAGTACAGGTATTTGAGTTCAACATGTAAGAAGTAGAAAGTACAGGTATTTGTGTTCAACATGTAAGAAGTAGAAAGTACAGGTATTTGAGTTCAACATGTAAGAAGTAGAAAGTACAGGTATTTGGGTTCAACATGTAAGAAGTAGAAAGTACAGGTATTTGAGTTCAACATGTAAGAAGTAGAAAGTACAGGTATTTGTGTTCAACATGTAGGAAGTAGAAAGTACAGGTATTTGAGTTCAACATGTAAGAAGTAGAAAGTACAGGTATTTGTGTTCAACATGTAAGAAGTAGAATGTACAGGTATTTGAGTTCAACATGTAAGAAGTAGAAAGTACAGGTATTTGAGTTCAACATATAAGAAGTAGAAAGTACAGGTATTTGTGTTCAACATGTAAGAAGTAGAAAGTACAGGTATTTGAGTTCAACATGTGAGAAGTAGAAAGTACAGGTATTTGAGTTCAACATGTAAGAAGTAGAAAGTACAGGTATTTGAGTTCAACATGTGAGAAGTAGAAAGTACAGGTATTTGAGTTCAACATGTAAGAAGTAGAAAGTACAGGTATTTGTGTTCAACGTGTAAGAAGTAGAAAGTACAGGTATTTGAGTTCAACATGTAAGAAGTAGAAAGTACAGGTATTTGAGTTCAACATGTAAGAAGTAGAAAGTACAGGTATTTGGGTTCAACATGTAAGAAGTAGAAAGTACAGGTATTTGTGTTCAACATGTAAGAAGTAGAAA